AACAGGCAACCTACAGAATGGGAGAAAATTGTTACAATCTACCCATCTGACAAAGGGCTAGTATCCAGATTCTACAAAGAACTTAAACAAACTTACAAGAAAAATATCAAACGACGCCATCAAAATGTGGGCAAAGGATATGAACAGACATTTCTCAAAACAAGATATTTATGCAGCCAACAGACATGAAAAAATGCTCATCATCACTGGCCATCAGAGAAATGTAAATCAAAACCACAATAAGATACCATCTCACACCAGTTAGAATGGTGATCATTAAAAAGTCAGGAAACAACAGGTGCTGGAAAGGATGTGGAGAAATAGGAACACTTTTACACTGTCCGTGGGACTGTAAACTAGCTCAACCGTTGTGGAAGACAGTGTGGCAATTCCTCAAGGATCTAGAACTAGAAATACCATTTGACCCAGCAATCCCATTACTGGGTATATACCCAAAGGATTATAAATCATGCTGCTATAAAGACACATGCACACGTATGTTTATTGCAGCACTATTCACAACAGCAAAGACTTGGAATCAACCCAAATGTCCATCAATGATAGACTGGATTAAGAAAATGTGGCACATATACACCATGGAATACTATGCAGCCATAAAAAAGGATGAGTTCATGTCCTTTGTAGGGATATGGATGAAGCTGGAAACCATCATTCTGAGCAAACTATTGCAAGGACAGAAAACCAAACACCGCATGTTCTCACTCATAGGTGGGAATTGAACAATGAGAACACTTGGACATAGGGTGGGGAACATCACACACTGGGGCCTGTCGTGGGGAGAGGGAGGGGAGAGGGAGGAGGGGGGAGGGATAGCATTAGGAGATGCTATCTAATGTAAATGATGAGTTAATGGGTGCAGCACACCAACATGGCACATGTATACATACGTAACAAACCTGCACGTTGTGCACACGTACTCTAGAACTTAAAGTATAATAATAATAATAATAAAACAAAAACAAAAACAAAACCCAAGCCCTTTCCCATCTAGGCTTTTAAAGATTCTGTTTCCTCAGTCTGGAGTGCTCATTCCTTAACTCTTAACACTGACTTCAGCTCGGAGATCAACTCCTCGGAGAAGGTTTCCCAAACCCTTGATCTGAAGTAAACCCCCCTTTCCAGCTAGTCTGTTCCATTATCTTGTTTATTTACTTCATAGTACTCAACTATTTTTTTTTTTTTTCTTGAGATGGAGTTTTGCTCTGTCACCCAGGCTGGAGTGCAGCGGCACGATCTTGGTTCACTGCAACCTCCGCCTCCCAGGTTCAAGCAATTCTTGTGCCTCAGTCTCCCGAGTAGCTTGGATTACAGGTACATGCCACCATGCCCGGTTAATTTTTGTATTTTCAGTAGAGATGAGGTTTCACCATGTTGGCCAGGCTGGTCTTGAACTCCTGACCTCAGGTGATCTGCCCGCCTTGGCTTCCCAAAGTGCTAGGATTATAGGCGTGAGTCGACACGGCCAGCCAAGTTTTTTTTTTTTTTTTTTAAACTGACTTTGTAAGCCAAGGTTGGTGGCAACATTAATTAGAATTACGATAAATACATGTATTTATCTGTTTTATGTATATTGTATGTCTTTCCCCACTTGAATGAAAGTACTATGAAGCCCTAGCCATTTTTGTTTGGGCCCCTGCTGAAACTCCAGTGGTTAGTACAATGTCTGAAGCATGGCAGGTATCAAGCAACATTGACTGAATGATTAAACAAATTATTTTTAGGAGAAATCAACTTCTGCGCTGCCTTCTCCAGTATCCTTAAGCAATTATTTTTTAGGCTCATAGAGAATCTTTTGCATTTAACTCAACTTTTATCCACTCAAAGATTGTTAGGTACCTGACAGGTGCTAGGGTTCTGAGAAGAAGAGAACCCAGGCCCTTTCCTCACATGCCTCAGCACCCTGCCCTACACTTGTGTTCGTGCCTCCCCTTAGGACACTGCAGATATGTTCTTGAAGAAGATGGGCTGATTTTATTCATCATTGCATTTCAGCCCCTAGGACAGATGGTACTGCTCAGTAGACATTTGTATGAAAGAGGACAGAAAAGAACTTTGTAGCCTCAGATTTTTACAGAATGTGCAAAGAAGAAGCAGGGTAAATGCAAATCTATGATTTGATTTTGCCCCTTCAGTCTGATAATGTTTGAGAAGACATTATGTTGCACCTGTTAAACATGTGGAAAAGGACAAAAACACAGGTCCAGTACTACTCTGTGCAGGTGATGTGATACTAAAAGAGGACAGAAATAAAGCAAAACTAATTTGCTTTTTTTTTTTTTTTGCAGAAGCAGTAGCCATGAAAAGAAGTTACCAGACAGTGGAGTTAACTCAAAATGAGAACAGTCCCCTGTCAATTGGAGCTACCCAGCAATACAAAGGGCTGCCTTGTCAGGGAACCTGTCCAAGCAGGAATGCTGACAATGGTCACGACCATGGAAGACCACAGTTCTTCCTAAGGCCACAATTTTAAGATTATCTTCCTCTGAACAAATCCACATACAGTGCATCTACTCAGCTTTTTTTACTTAAAACAGTTCAAAAAATGAATGCTTAGTAACTACCAAAAAACAGAACACTATTAGAGGATCTTAATTCAATCAACATTGCCACCAACATTGGCTTAGAAGGAGTTACTATACTTTAGCCAGTGGTAGAAAGGACTGATACTACGGGTAAGAAATCAGGCAGGGGAGGATGGCCAGGAGCCATGTGCATATCATCTCTCCCTCCTTCTTTAAAATTACCAGGAATAAAGGTTTTCTGGGACAAAATCAAGGTAAAGAAAGAGAAATTATGTGGATCAAGACAGTAATTCCTGAAAGCAGGCCAGGTACTGCGATGTCAACATTTGTCCTGCACATTATATCATTGAGATTACTCACAAATAATTGCATGAGTGGGTCTCTTATGTATGAAGAGGTTAGTACATTACCCGCATGGCTTCTTGAATGTGGTCCTGTCGAATCAGTTCTGCTGAGCAGTCCATATACCACTTCAAACAGCGGATGAGCTCCCTGGGAAAAAGAACAGTTCCAGAAACCCCACTTTAATTCAAAAGTAATGCAGACTGAAATGTTTGGAGCCCTGAATTAGGCAAATAGTAAATAATATTCTGCTGATAAGCTAGAAAGGAGTGGCAGATCCATTATAGCTTTGGAATATTCAGGTCATCTGAGAACAAACAACACCCTTTGTCCATAGGAGTTGCCACATTTTAAACAGCAATTAAAATAACTTTTCCCCACTATCTCTGACATATATTTCTTTTTGATTACAAGAAAGTTTCCACCCAAGTCTGGGCAACATGGTGAAACCTTATCTCTACAAAATAATACAAAAATTAGCCAGGCATGGTGGTGCACGCCTGTAGTCCCAGCTACTCAGGAGGCTGAATCAGGTGGATCAATTGAGCCCAGGAGGTAAAGGCTGCAGTGAGCCATGACTGTGCCACTGCACTCCAGCCTGGGCAACAGAACAAGATCTCATCTGAAAGAAAAAAAAAATAGTTTTCCTAAAGACCTGGACTGGATGTGTATATTTTTATTTTGTCTTAAATTGCTAGGTTTTCAGGACATCTGACACCAGCTAGTAAATAGTAGACTCTGAATAAAAGTATGTAGTCCCAGGAGTCCCTATTCACAACCCCTGCTCTATCCCATCTATCTTATTTCCTTAGGACTAAGTCATCTGAATGGAATGAGATTACTGGGTCAGAAGGTCTGCATATTTATATGGCAACAGAGCACAGAGGTCAGGAGTATAGGCCGGGGATATTCTGGAGCCTATCAATATCTAGTTTTGTATCATTGAATGAGTTATTTAATCCCCTGTGTCTCGTTCTCTTCAATAAAAATATGGGGAAATGGTACATCTCAAAGTTATTGTAAACACTAATAGAATGACGCATATAAAGCACATAGTACAGTCCACTCTCCAAAGTGACATTAAAGTATCAGAGTTCCAGTGACTCCATAGCCTTGCCACCATTGGGTTTTATTTATATTTTCAATAATTATGCTAATTTCGCATAAGAAAATGGTGATTTCTGGCTGGGTGTGGTGGTTCATGCCTGTAATCCCAGCACTCTGGGAGGCTGAGGTGGGTGGATCACAAGGTCAGGAGTTTGAGACCAATCTGGCCAACATAGTGAATCCCCATCTCTACTAAAAATACAAAAAATTATCTGGGTATGGTGGTGTGTGCCTGTAATCCCAGCTACTTGGGAAGCTGAGGCAGGAGAATCATGTGAACCCAGGAGGCAGAGGTTGCAGTGAGCCAAGAACAGGCCATTGCACTCCAGCCCAGGCGACAGTACAAGATTCTAATCTCAAAAAAAAAACAAAAAAGAAAGAAAGAAAGAAAGAAAGAAAGAAAGAAAGAAAGAAAGAAAGAAAGAAAGAAAGAAAGAAAGAAAGAAAATGGTGATTTCTTATTGCTTTAATGGTCTTATTTATTTTTTTCTTTGAGACAGACACTTGCTCTGTCAACCAGACTGGAGTGCAGTGGCGCGATCTCAGCTCATTGTAACCTCTGCCTCCAGGGTCCAAGCAATTCTTGTGTCTCAGCCTCCCAAGCAGCTGGGATTACGGGAAGGGGAGGATACACCACCATGCTTGGCTGATGTTTGTATTTTTAGTAGAGATGGGGTTTCACCACGTTAGCCAGGCTGGTCTCGAACTCCTGGCCTCAAGTGATCCACCTGCCTCAGACTCCCAAAGTGCTGGGATTACGGGTGTGAGCCACCATGTCTGGCTTGCTTTAATGGTCTTAGATAACCTGTGTTTCTCATATTTGTTTACTAGTTATATAAACTCCTTTATGAACTGTCTTTTTATATTCTTTGACATTTTTTTGTGGGTGCTATTTTAGCTATTCAAATGTTTCTCATGGAAAAAACAAGACATTTTTAGCAGCTTTACCATCATTTCCTAGAAGTAAAAGTATAGCAACTATGTAACAAACTATAGTTTGAAATATCAGCTGAAAGCCCACAGCTAACATCAAACATAATGGTAGAAGACTGAAAGCTTTTCATCTAAGATCAGAAACAAGATAAAAATGCTCGTTTTTGACATTTTTATTCAACATAGTACTGGAAGTCCTAGCCAGTAACATTAGGCAAGAAAAAGAAATAAAAGACATTCAAATTAAAAAGGAAGAATAAAATGCTCTGTTTTCAGATGATACAATCTTACATGTAGAAAACCCTAAAGAATCCCCCCAAAAAACCTGTTAGAACTAATAAATAAATTCAGTAAAGTTGCAGGACACAAAATCAACACAAAAAATAAAATACATTTCTATATGCTAAAAATGAATAATCTGAAAATGAAATTAAGACAACAATTCCATTTACAAGAGCATCAAAAAGAATGAAATACTTAGGACATATTTAAGGAGACAAAAGAGTTTTATACATGTTGCTTAAAGAAATAAAAGATAGCAATAAATGGAAATACATCTTATATTCATGAATTAGAAGGTTTAATATTGTTATTAAAGATGTAACTGCTACCCAAAGTGATCTACAGATTTAATGCAATCCCTAATACAATTCCAACGGTATTTTTTGAAGAAAAAAAAAAGTCCATCCTAATATGGAATTACAAGTGACCTGGAATAGCCAAAAGCATCTTGAAAAAGAGGAACAAAATTGCGGTCTCACACTTCCTGATTTCAAAACATCACAAAGCTACAGCAATCAAAACAACGTTGAATTAGCATAAAGACATATTTATAAAACAATGGAAAAAAATAGGCCAGAAATAAAGCCTCACATATATGGTCAAGGGGCCAAAGTACCACCCTTTTGACAAGGATGCCAAGGCCATTCAGTGGGGAAAAGACAGCTTCGATAAATGGAACTGGGAAATTGGATATCCACATGCAAAAAGAATGAAGTCAGACACTTATCTTACACAATATACAAAAATTAACTCAAAATGGATCAAAGACCTAAATGTAAAGGCTAGAATTATAAAACACTTAAAAAAAAAGACAGGTGAAAGCTTCATGACATTAGGCAATGATTTCTTGAAAATGACACCAAAAGCACAGGCAACAACAAAAAACAAGGTGGACTACATCAAAATTTTAAAAACTTCTGTGTCTCAAAGGACAAAATCAACAGAGTGAAAAGGTAACCAAGTGACTGGGAAAAATATTTATAAATCATATAACTGATAAGGGGTTAATACTCAGAATATATAAACAACTCCTATAACTCAACAATAAAACAAATAACCTCTTTTAAAAAAAATGGGTGAAGGACTTGAATAGACATTTCTCCAAGGAAGATAATTAGGGAAACACAAATAAAAAACATAAAGAAATATCACTTTACACCCATTAGGGTGGCTACTATCAAAAAAAACCCCAGAAACCAGCCTGGCCCTCAGTGGCTCTGGAGGAAAGGTGAGTGAACTATTAAGGAGCAATTTGCTCTTACCAATGGCCTCTGGAACCCTGACAGAAGGAGAACCCTCAACTACCACAGATACTTGAGTTGGCAGGGAGAGCTGCTTAGAGAAGTGGTAGGGGTAGCAAACCAGCTGATGTGGAGCCCAGGGGTGTTGGTGTGGGAGTGTCTGCAGTGGTGCACAGCCAGGGATGGTCATCCCCTTAGGCTTGACTTGCTCCCATGGGAGACTTCAGCCCTAGGGGAACTGTTGGTCTTGAACTCTACAGGGCGGTCTTGCTCATCAGATGGGGCTGGTCTATCCTGAGCACTCCTTGATCGGCTGGCCTCTCCTGGGGCCCAAGTCTGGCCATACCTGCTTGCAGGGCAGCCTCAGGTGACCTGCGGGCCCCACGTCATAGTTTCTACACAGACCATGCTTGACGGTGGGGAGAGCTCCACTGCAGCGACCCTATGCCACGCACCAGCCCGCATGCCCCCTCCCCATACTGCAGGTTCCCCAGGACCCATGGCAACTCTCCACAATGCTTTACTGGCTTGTGTCTGCACTGGCAGGTTTTGCTTTCCTTTTTCCATTAAAAAGTGGGCTAGCATGTAGGAGTGCAGCCTGCCCCCTGCTCCCACCACCACTGCAGATAGAGCCTTGGTGGGCACAGAGCCAGCCAGCCCTGCCCCTGCCAGTGCCCCACCCTTGCCCTAACACTGTGCAGAGAATAGCAGATCCTCCCCTATCCTGAGTGACCACTTCTGCTTGCAGGACACAGAGAAAGCACCCAGACCTTCAGTGTCCCAACCCTGCGCCATCACCACCTCTACTGTGACTGTGCAAAAGTTGCCAGCAGGGGCCCCAGCTCTGCCCAGCTGTGCTGCCTCTGCCACCCTGGTCAACACGTGCAGGGAGGCAGGTACCCCGGCACCAGCACCTGCTAGCACTCTGCCACAGGTGACTCTGCCACAGCTGCTGTACCCACTGCTGCTGGCACATGTGAAAGGGGATAGATCCAGCTGTCACTGCACTATGAAATACTTTGGCTTACACCACCCAGCCAAAGTGAAATGGCCAGCAGTCTGGGAGCATCTCAGCCTACCCAGTACAGTGGATTCCTAACCTTGAGGAGCCAGAGAACAAAGTTGGGGCCCAATACAAGTCTCCAAGTTGTGTTAGAGTGCACAGTCCAGGAGTTAGGAGTTGAGCACTGACCCCTAAAATGTTCCAGAAATGAATCCAGCTGGCTGAATCCACCTTACACCACAATCAAACACTCAAGGTCATCAAATAGGATAAAAGGAAAAAAAACCCAAAACTCATCCAAAAGACAGCAACCTCAAAGATTGAAGAGTGACAAGCCCACAAAGACGAGAAAGAACCAGCACAAAGACCCTGGCAACTCAAAAAGCCTTCTTTCCTCCAAATGATTGCATCACCTCTCCAGCAAGGGTTCTGAACTGGGCTGAAAGGGCTGAAATGACAGAAATAGAATTCAGAATATGGATAGGAATGATGATCATTGAGCTACAGGAGTATGCTGAAAGTTAATCCAAGGAAGCTAAAAATCATGATAAAACAATGCAGGAGCTGACAAACAAAATAGCTAG